GTCCTGACCTGTCTGTAGTTATCGCGTGTGTGAACAGAATTGTTTAAGTGTCGAATAAACGTATGTGCCTCCTACTATTAGTGTCTCCGACGTGACTCACTACACATACGTAAACCCATCATGTATGCATAAGCTCATTTCTTTTTTAGAACTGATTTTTGTCTTTTGTTTGTTGTCCTTCCCCCGCACCTCCGATTGGCGCAGTTGGCTACGTACGGTGGCGAAAGAAGTTCAACGTGCGGTACATACACACAGGGTCAACGGCTCAACAGATCGGGGAACTTTCAAAACAACGTAGATGATGCAATCATAAAAAGGGGATAGCACTCAATTGAAATCAGGGTTATCGGTCGGCAGTGAGGGATTGGGGAAGGCAGAGGGGAGGGGGTGCAGAGGGTGTGGGGGAATCCTCTCAAACACTCACCCACGCGTCCGTTGCATCTCAACTCGATTGCTGCAACTTCCTTCCCCACGGCCTCGCCGCCAAATCACTTCAACAGCGGACAGACTCCAGATGGCCCAGAATGCCACTGCCAGATCTGTCACCCACGCGCGTATATGACACCATACCACTCCCTGATACGCCAATCCCTCCGTTGGCTCCCAATGCAGTTTGACTGCGGTGAGGTGGACTTGCTCGCGGTTCCCCCCTCCTTCCCCTCCCGGCTCCTGCCCCTCGCCGACCGCCTTTGTCTTCCCAATGCAATAATGCCTCATTACTTTTCAGCCGCCGCCCAGCTACGACCAGGCCTAACCCAACCCCTCCCCTGATCAATTCCCTCCTCGTTTCTACCATCGTTAAAACTTCACCATCGCTCACAATAACCCACTCCTTCATTTCAAATCGTTATCATCCTATGTGCAATTTCATAATTGCTCTAAAGCGCCTTGCAGAAAGGCGCTATGTAAATCTTGATAAGATGTCAAAGATTGTCATGTGTGTATGCTGAACTTCTGTCGCACCGTACGTTGCCAATTGTGATAATTTGGAGGTTCTCAACAGAGCTTGAACAGGTGCTCCGAACGAAAGTTAATTAGAATCACATGCGTGAGAATGTTGTGGTGTTTCCGACTCACGTACGATGTGTGTGTGTCATGTGATCACGTGGTCGCGGCAGCTACTCGCGGGCCACTAATTTCACCACAATGCTTAACCAAAAAAAACAATTATTTAATTGAATCGAGACCCTAATACGTGACAGTCCATCAAGTCGCGAGGGCGTGAATTGAATAAACCCAGAGTTCGCAGTCACTCCTCAAGCCGCCAAATAATCATCCCATTGGCAGCCGTCGCTGGCACCTCCACAGCCCAATTTCGAGATGAGACCCCAATATTGTCGATCCTCCCAGATAAAATCTGAACCATTTGTCATTCTAGGCAAATAAAAGTATTGCCTGATTTAAATTCGACATGCTCACGCCAACTGTACTCTTTTTATGTTTTACTTAAAATGCGTAATAACGGACATGTACTATGAAAAATAAGAAGAGGCTTTATCTTTTCTGGCAATACGATAGGTGTTAAGATGTTCAAACACCCAACAGACACCTTTTACAAGTTATCAAGTCTGCATTAACCACACGTACTTGTGGTGAACATGCAAACAAACATGCTCTGATAATATATAAGCATTGTCTTTGATACTGATTGGCCTACACCAGAGACAGACTTCTTTATAGCCCCATCTCAGCAATGTCAGACCAGAGGACAGCGCCAAAAGGCGAACAGTACAAAGACAATGCACGTATCAGAGCACTTAAAGCTCGGGGCGAGACGCTGTGTCATGTACTACCACCAATGGGGGAATACTGTGATGGTGGCCAATTGTCAAGAACAGTGGTGGAGTGGCTGCCAATGAATGAAATGCATCCAAGTTGACGTCCGCCGGGCCAGATGGAACGAAGAAACCAGCTCGTGGGCCAGGTGGCTATGCATTCTGTTGCATCGCAGAACCGTGATCTGGGGAAGGCCCTCATCCAGCAGGGGATTGATTGTGGCGGATGGCGATGATGGTGAGGATGACTTGCTAAATGTGGAAGCCACTGGGCTTGGATTGCGCCTCTGTGTGTTAAACCCTACTTTGGTAGTTTTACTTTAAATTGCATTGCCCAGATGGATAAATGTAACGGAAACGCGCGCGAAAAAAAAACATGCTGACTCTCTTATATGTAATTTATGCCCGTACCCATAATTGTGCCCCAAAGAGCCGGGGGCCTAATTATCCATGGAAATGCCAACAAAAACAGGCACAAACCATTACCAAGCCGCAGCCGTTTAACCCGTTCGTCTCCGTTGCCCACACGTACCCAAACATTCCCTGTAATACCCTTGTCCTGTCTAGCCTCGCAGACCGAAGTGTGCGCTGTTAGCGAGCACCTATTAGGCCAGGCCAGTACGTGTGGTCATTTCCTTTTGTCTCCCGGCGCTGACGTTGACACACACACGCATCCCATATACGCCCCCCCTCGCCCCGCAAACATTCACAGAATGTAATGACAAGCGCTGTTAATGAGCGCCTAGAAAGGTCGGCACAACACACAAGGCAGACGGTGTTGCCAGCACCACGCCAGCGCCGCCTTTGTCTCCCAAGCACTTAAGGCTTACACCATTAATTTTGAGGCTGAGTCGACCTAGTGGAAGCACAGGGACCAGGCCAGATATCACACACCGCCGATGTCAGTTGCGATCACGAATCAAACTCGGCTCGCTGGGTTCGCAGCGCGGCGCGCTAACCACCGTGCCACCGCTCCCAACCCTCCACCAACGCACAAAGACAAAGATACTCCATTTAGCCTCAGCAGACTTTTTGAGGCGAGTGCTGTCAACGAGCACCTATGGATGCTGGTACGGCACATGAAGGGATGGGTGGCCAAGCACCACGCCAAGCCCCTAGTGATGATGTTTACATTCTGCACCAAGTATTGAGTTGAGGCTGAGTCGACCTAGTGGAGGCCCAGGACCAATTTAGATTATTGTCACTGGTGTTTATTCGTGAGCAGGAATTCGCGTAGGCGGATTCGTAACGCAGCACGCTATATCGTTACATCCCTGCTACATACACACACACACACACAAAGAAAAAGATACCCGTGTTAGCCTTAACAGACTTTTGGGGGCAAGTGCTGCTAGCGATAACCTCTAAAGGCCGGCACGGCACACAAAGACACACAATACATCATACATCGTATCAATCGTACATTCCACAGCCTTTGACTGGATGAAGGCCTTTGCTGGGATTATGTCCAAAGTTCACCTCAGCAGTCTTCACTCAACATCGTCGTTTTGTTCGGGATTTCAAGCTTTCGTGACTGCAGGGATTCATCTTCTTGGTTCTTTCGGTAAAGTCACGTAGAAGGGAAGTAATAAAACAATAAAAATAAAACATAATAAAATAATTCTCACGACGTTTCGGCCACAACGCAAGCAGCCATCCTCAGGTGAAGAATGAAGAATGAAACACCACCAGCTTAAATATACGCTCCAAGCTTGGTGGTGTTTCATTCTTCACCTGAGGATGGCTGATTGCGTTGTGGCCGAAACGTCGTGAGAATTATTTTATTATGTTTTATTTTTATTGTTTTATTGTTTCCCTTCTACGTGCCTTTACCGAAAGAACCAAGAAGATCCTCGATCTGTGTTGACCAGCCCTGCTTCGCGATGGGTCCACGAGACTTCACCTGACGCCGCATTCCCGTGCCCCCCTCCGTCTCGTGAGACGCGGCCAAACGCAGCACCGAAAACGGACCGAATCTCCCTTCGGTTCTGACGACGCTCGCAGAAGGCAGTGGTTAAGGGTGACTAGTTGATCCCACCGGGGGGGGGGGGAGGTCGTCTCTGCTGGGCTGTGAGTTTTGCAGAGAGCAGGGCCACGTGACAGACGCCGAGTGAGGCACGGGCCTACACCGACGTTTCGAACCCAGTGCCCTCGGCGGGGCGAAAGCGTCGTACGGAAACCGCGCGAGCTTAACTATTGACAGCCTCGCGAACGCCCCTGTGATTAATATTGCATGGACGAGCCTTGCGAACGATGGCCCTTCGCGGCAACGTACGTCAGGGTGTTTCTTGCTGCAGAGATACAGTGGCGACAATTGTCTTCGTCGTCATTGTTATAACATGAGTGTATATTTCGTTTGTATTTCGTTCCACGTGTGTATTTTAAAAACGTTTTATTTCCCTGCCAAACAAAATAGGAACGCGTAACGTCTCCCGAAGTGTGTACTTGCTGCTCGCGCATGAACGGAGCTAAATCAAAGGGCACGCGTGTCATTACTCTTCTGCGCTCGTCCCCAAGTATTAAAGATCTATATTTAATACGTTCGTGATAAAATGCGGAGGTTTTTCAAGTCAAATGTTTACAAAAAAATATTTGTAGCATCACGACTGTGCCACTGGTAACGAGACGGAGTTTCAAACTCGGATCTCTTGCAGAGCAGCCCTTTGCTTCTGAACTGGCCACGGAAGTGGATGCTACAGAAACACCTCTGAGATGCCTTCAAGTGACGGCTGTCCCATACATTAGGCAACAACACTTTCCCACCTGCCCTGCCATTGAGAATAATGTTCATCAAATGGCGGTTTAATTATCAGAGCTATACATTAATGTAATTAAGTTTAGAACCAAATTTATCGTGATGGTTTTTTTACGTGCAGTCGTTTGTATAACTGGGATAATACCATTAACTTACTGCACTTGAGAACCCAATTTTCAATCCCACATGGCTGAATCCTGAATGCAAACAAACCTCAGATCTCAATTGCAATAAGTCGGTGCCCAGATCTCTGTTTTAAAATGTCATAAGACGTCTACCTGATCACCCGATGACAGGCAATGTTCTCAGGCTCAGGAACCCCTAAGAAACCCGGCGTTAATCACAAGCGTCTGCCTGGATTTCAAACCCAGGATCTCAGCGTCACCAGCTCAGCGCTCAACGCTCTGATCTCTGAGCCACCGGCCAGGCCAACCCTGACGAATAAAACACAAAGTGCATCAAGGACTTACCGGTGCATTTTTTGGCGTGCACGGTCTGCCTTGCTCCGTGGCGGCTCAGCCGGCATTTGAAGTTCTCCTCCCAGAACTCGGCGAACCAAACGTTCCTTCTGTTGTTCTCCAGCGTACGGGACGTGAAGTATTTGTCGAACTCTGCGGGTGCGAGAGGTCGAACAACGCGGAGGCTTGCTCGGCGCCAGCCAATATCATTCACGGTGGGTCAAGGGGAGGGGGGGTTTGCTCATCCGGTCTATTAGGCGAATGTTGCTCAGAGGGGCAACCGTGCCGGTAAAACAGCAAGGGGGTGGGGGTAACGGGGTCAAGAGGAATAATAATAGTTAGAGCAGTTCTGTTGTGCAAAACGAGCGGTCCGGTGTCGAATTTTATGATCCCAGGGAGCATCGTCGCGAGTGTGCTACCCCTGTGAAACGCAGGTGCGTCACGATGGTGCGTCGGGTGAAATACATTGCAATCGATGGTCGAACGAAGCAAATTATTTGGCAGCAGTGCGCAGGAACAGTTAACGACGAACACAAACTCAACACGCTCGTCAACAACACTGCCTCGTGATAAAACATATATATATATGAAATCGATGGCGTTTTGCGTGATGGCCCCCCCCCCCATTCGTGGCACATAAAGGCGACGAGCGGATAGCGCCATGCTTGTGTGTGTAAAAGAGGCAAAACAAAATGCTGTGATCCGGACAAAATAAACTGGGGTACGTTTCACATGGGACGTTAAAACTGAATAACTGTATGACCCCAAGGGTGGGGGTGAGGGGGCAGTGTTACGTAGATGACCTGATGTGCACGAAGCATACGTAGTTTGCAAGATATTATTGTCTTGTGAGCATAGAAAATTCAAGTCAAGTAAAAAATGCCAATGCAACTGTTTAAATTATGAATGTAGACGTATTATACGGCAATTGATAATAAAATCCAACCAATCGTAGCCTGGCCGGTGCGATGTTTTATACGTTGTTTAATTCGGAGCGAGTTTGCGTGCCGCATATTGAATTGTGTGCGCAGCCTGACGTGCCTTACGGAACAACCAAGAACCTAAACGGGGGGTTGATACTCCAACTCTTTTGAAAAATGAGCGGCCCTATAATTAGTGTGTGGAAATACAGCTCCAACCCCATACTCCATTTAGAATCCACACGGCAATGTGCTCTGGAGGTTGGTATTGATTTCTTCCTAAAGTTTCCCCATCAACGGCGAAGGTGTGCAATGCATCCGCAGTAATGCGCCGCCGTATCGACACCCACCGTGGTGAAAATTGTGAAATCTAATTACACCTCCTGGCGGTGGCAGTAAAAGAAAGAAAAACAAAAAACCCGTGCCGGATTCATTCTAACACGGAGCCGGGCTTTTTATGTCTGGCCCAGGTGCGTGGCAGAAGAACCATCGACTAGGACACGAGATACACAGAACACCTGGTGAGTCCAATTCACAGTTGATGACTTGGCACGCGTTCCTATTTGATACAAACACCTGTGTGCACGGCTTACTGCTGTTCAACCAAACTGTTGAGGGCCGAACGTTGGGGGGGGGGGGGGTGTAACGATGCGATCGATGATTCACCAATTAAAGCACGGTTTTATGCTCACGACACATTCATTGAATCGTGTGCATGGGAGAATTCTCTTTTTATTCATTGTATTCATTGGAGCGGTGGCGCAGTGGTTAACGTGCTGCAATACGAGCCCGGCCAACGGAGTTTGATTTCCGGCCGTGGCTAACATCATTGTCACATGATATCTGAACCGGTCCTGAACCCCCATTCCTCTTCACCAACCAGCGTGGTGAAGTATGGTGAAACAACCCCCCCCCCCCCATGAGCAACGTGCTGTTAATTGTACACGAGCTATACACGTGTATAAATTGACCCCTGCAGCCAAAAGGGGTGCTAATATTCATCACAATATTAGACGGACTTTTTAAAACAGTAACAAATATTTCTATTTTTCGAATAACTATCCCAAATCATGACAATTCATCAAATCGCGGGGGGCTAGAATGGGTGCAAATTGTCACAGGCCAAAAACATTGTATCGCCCTGCTGTATGTATGTACGGATGTTGAATTTCTTTCGCCACTTGGAGGTGCGGGATTGTCCGTTCATACGGCCGGGAGACCGTGCCCAAAGTTCCGTCTGAGCGTCCCTACCAGACACGGAGGCGCGCTTGGGCAGGATGGTAATGGCGCCCTCTGCTTCGTCCTCCTGGTTGCGAATGGGAGCGATCTTGGAGCCCCAGCTGTCCGACGCCACCCACAGGAAGTGGCCCGTCTGGTTCGCACGCCGCGTGGCCTCCAGGAGCCGTCTGCGGCCAAGGGAGGCGGGCGTGGGGGGGGGGGGGGGGGGGGCAGGGGGGGTGTGGGGGGGGTGTCAGACGAGCGGTGATTCCCAGCCATGTAATAGGAGGTGGCAAGGTATTATAAGCCACAATACCTCGCGGAGCTCGTCAAGGAGCCTAAACCATCACGCGAACTCCTGTGGTCATCCTCGCGGCTGTTGGCTAAACCATCCAACAAAGGCAGTAACCGCATCGCGCGCTTAAAGATGCGTTTCTGCGGCAGTGTGGAACCCTCTTCTTTGTGATATTAGGAGGCCATTGGAGCAATGCACTTTTAAATCTTCATCTAGATTGAAAGCTCATTTCTTTAGAACTGCTTTTTGTGTTTCGTTTGTTGCTATTCCCCACAACTTTGTGGGGAAGTTAACAGTGGTTGACCTATGCAGACAACCCATCCCTGCCGTAGGAATGGGCATTTCCCACCACTGGCCCAGGGCTGTGAATGGAGAGATGAGCACAGGCTCAATGCTGAGCAGGAAAAACAAACATTTTGCTCGTGCTTTGAGTTGAAAGTTGTGAATGTTCTTGCCAAACGAACGAATGCTCACCTGTGTACACATTGGTCTATGAGGTCACTCGTGACTGGGCGGTGAAAGGCCGAAGCCGAACAAGGCTTTTGGGTGCCTCGTGCAATGCAGGTTTTTTGTTTAAGCATTGTGATTAACAAGAAGAGTCTCCCTTGTTCCATACGTTGTTGAAAATGTTCCACGAGGGAGATCAACAAACAAAACAGTGGCATCCAAGAAGATGCCCAACGAGGCGATGGCAGCGATAGACACAGCTCGTGTGCAGGTGGCAAGTGCAGGACAGGTGCTTTTGGCATAATTTAGTTTAAATGCATACATCATTTTCAAGCTTGGAAGAGTTAAACAAATACCCTCTAATTTCCTCTAGTTGACGCCTTATTTCCAGCAGTGGCCTCAGCAGTCGGTTGCCTTTTGTTTCCATTCAATTTAATCTTTCGTATGATGAACGGGATACGTAATTTATTTTTTGTCGTGCGCCGTTCCGTCGCAGGACCGTGAGAGATGGCGACGGTTCGAGGAGGACTTCATCTAAGCCAGTGGATAGATGATTATGCGAATTGACTTTAACCTGCTATGAGGCTGCTTGGGTCGAATGCACCGTGTCGGAGCTCGAGAGCTAATACCCAGTCGCCCCTGTTGCTCTATCCACCGAGATGGGCCATTGGAATAAAACAAAATATCGACGTTTGTCTAAATGGCTCCACGTGTGTACTTCTCCAAGGCTTTCAACCAAGTCGCCGGCAAACCGCGCAAGAAAAACGGTCTGAAATTGGCACGCGGTGCCTGTAACCACACAATTAGGAGGCAGGCCTGGAGAGTAAAATAAGCTGTTGTTTCAGTGCTTCTTATTCTTCTTACGTGCGGCGTGTTTCGGAGATAAGCAATTAAGCTGTGAAACGGCAACAAATGTTCAGGTCACACTCATTGCGCACAAAGTGCTCGCCGCAAATGAACGGCAATGCCTGGGCGATCTCGGCAAGGACCATAAACCATTACGCCAAACTCCGGTCATCCTCGCAGCGGCTTTTGGCTGGCCATCGAACAAAGACGGTCACTGCATCGCGTGCTTTCAGACGCGCTTCTGTAGCCGTCTGGAACGCTCTTGCTTCCGATATTAGGAAGCCACTGGGGCTTTGCACTTTCAAATAATCTAGATTTAACACGAATGTCCTGAGAATTGCTTTGTGTGTTTAGTTTGTTGTCCTTCCTTCGCACCTCCAATTAACATGGTTGGCAGTGTACAGTGCAAGAGAAGTTCGACATGCATACAATGCTTCAGGACATACTGATGGTTTCTACATACGCACAAAGCCTGTGTGATTTTTTTTGTATAGCATTTTCTTTGTTGTTTGAAATGGTTTTCCAGCCTGCACTATTATTCCGCTATGATGGGGTTTTCGCCTCATTTCCAGATTTGATCCACAGTTAGAGGTGGAAACTACCTGTTTTATTTCCACGTGTGTAGCCGATGGGCACTGGTCACCCTCGATAACATCGGACTGCGCAGAAAAAAGGTCAGGGGTGAGCCATTCGTCGTGATTATTTATCAAAAAAAATTGGCCAGGCGATGCGCGGAATGGTGCCGGCAGTGATGCCCCACCTGGGATCGGTGCCCAGAACTGAGTGTAGATTTGGCAGGAACGCTGCGTTTTGACGTTGTCTTCAGCTGACTATCCCCAACCACGGTGACATAATCAGCCAAATTACAAGAGATTATAGATAAGTTTCCTTCTTTGTGAGAAGAAATAAGTGGCTTCTATATTCCCCGGGAAAACCCCAGCCTCATGATCGCTGTGTTTGTCTATTTGTAAGCAATGCTTCGTACTGTTTGGTGTCTCCAGGTCACAGGGCGAAACTTATTTATCGAATGCTATTTCACGTGACTTCCCACAGTCAAAACACAAGTCACATTGACAAAATATCTATAGCTAAAGGGACGAAAATAAAGCTTCTGGATGAGATTACTTTAGACATTGGTGGCGAATGTTCTGTTGGACACGGACGCAAATAGATGGACAAGCGAATTCATTAAGTGAGGCTACGGTTGCTTTGGAGAATACATGTTATAGTATTCACGGCAACGAAACTCAACGCATTCCGCAATAACACTTCCTTTAAAAAGAAACAAAATATATAACAAACAACATTCGAGAAATGGCCCTTCTTCACAGTACATAAAAACGAGGGCCATTGCCCAAAACGTCGCCTGTTTTTACGTTTTTATATTTTAAGGCAGTCCTATTCATGAATGTGTAGCGCATCTTATTTTTATTTATTTACGTATAATGTTTGACATCAATCAAACTGTTAACATTTTTTTTAAAAGTGGCCTCGGGCAGGACACGCTGCTGGCTAGAAGGAGTCATGGCCGGTGGTCAAGAACAATGATTGAGTGGCAGCTGAGGAAATGGCATGTGTTCCCTGAGAGGATACCCGCGGAGTGGTGATTTCAGTTCGTGGCGGAGGTGCCAGGTGGGTTATCGCAGGGGATAGTGAAAGACGGCGGCTGGCTTGAGGAGGGGGCCTTCATCCAGCAGTGATATGGCGACCGTGGCTGAAGGTGATGATGGATGATTGTGTGTATTTGAGACAACCGTTGATGTTCTCGTTCACAATTCATATTAAACCGACACCGACTGAATGCATACGCTCAAGTGTTGTACGACAGCGAAATATTAAAGACCAAACATCTCACAGTTCATGGTGAATTATAACAAAGAGAAAAACTTCTGAAGTTCCCTTGAAAAGTAAAAAAAAATATTATACAATAAACGTTTGAGGAAATGCAGACGTATTGTACAATTTTGTGCTGAGCGAGCAAATTAAATTTAAAATAAATATTCACGTCAATATGTCACGTCCAGTGGAATAGAGGATGTATTAAATGCACGGCGTTTGAAACTGACCTCAACAATTTTGTGACATTGCGAATATTATCGAGGATGAATTACCGACGTGAATTTTTTTTCTTCACATTTTTAAACGTTCTCCACAATGGCACTTTCCCTCGAACTCGGCGACACTGAGCCTTGCGGTAAAAATAAAAAAAACACGCAAGAATGTGTGAATTATACATGTCGCATAACGCTGAATTATATTAATTTAAGCACATCAAATTCGGTTCTGGTTTCCTCGTGGATTCCGCAGCGATTGTACACTCGGGTCCCGACTCATGTTAGCTCGTTGGCCATCATTCTTCCGTCGCTTATCCAGAGTAGCCTCACCGCCGACCCTTTCGAATCCCATCAGACACCGCGATGCCCAATAACAACTGGAGCTGTTTTCGTATCGACCGGGAAAAAGGGGGAGAAGGGATGGACGGGGGGGGGGGGGGCATGGCATTATTTTTGGCTGGCTTTTTTATGGGGGAAAATCACGTAAAATGTTATAAACGTTTTAACCATGTAATTCAACACATGTTTGCATGTACAGTATACGTGTGCAATAGCAATATACTTGTGTAGGCACATCCTGGTTACACCAGCCCACAGGGGATTATTGTGTCCGTCCGTCTGTCGTGCAGGGAGGGGCTGGGTGGGGAGGGAGGGGCTGGGTGGGGAGGGGAGGGTGGGGAGGGAGGGGCTGGGTTGGAGGGGAGGGTGGGGAGGGGCTGGGTGGGGACGGTGGGGAGGGGCTCGGTGGGGATGGTGGGGCGGGGCTGGGCGGGGAGGGTGGGGCTGGGTGGGGGGTGGGAGGGGTGGGGCTGGGTGGGGAGGGGCTGGTCACCCCGTGGTGCCCTTATAAAACTCAACGTTTAACCTACAGTCGGCCATATTTGCGGAATACACCACGCCGCCGTTGACCCTGGCCATTGACCGAGCAACCCAACGTTCCTACCAGCTCCCTCCGCATGAATGTGTTTTTGCATACATATAGTCGTCTGTGTATGTATTTAGTGGGGGGCTGTAGTGTAGTGGTTAGCACGGCTGCGCTTCGAACCCGACAACAAGAGTTTGATTCCCACTCACGGCCAAATCCAGTGACAAATATCTGAACCGGTCCTGGGCCTTACCCTAGGTCGACTCAGCCTGAAATGAATAACTGGTGTGGCGTGTAAGCATTGCCACTAGCCTCCATAGGTGCTACTCGCTAACAGCACTTGCCCCAACAGTCTGTTAAGTCTATACGGGGGATCTTTGTCTTTGTGAATGTATATTTCAGTGGTAATTATCTGAACCAGTCCTGGTCCTCCCCTAGGTCGACTCCGCCTTTTTGTGCATTGTGTGAACATGGAAGCCAAAGGTGGCTGGGCGTGTTGATATAATAACCCTCACCACTTAGTTGGCTTAATAAGCACTCGCTACCAGCACTTCCCCCCAACAACAGCTCACTTGGGATGTTTGTCGTTTTTTTGTCGTTTTTGTTGTTGTCAACGCACGCGCGTCCAGGCCGCGTCGAGCGACGACTCACTTGATGTCGTCTTCGTTGGCGAAGAGGATGATGGCGCGGGCACTGGGCGTCTCCATGAGGCGGTGGATGATCTTGTCGAAGTCACTCGGCTTGGGCTCGTGCGGGATCTTCAGGGACTGGGCGATGCACACGCCGCCCGGTGGATTTCCTGCCGTCAGTTGGAGGGTCAGGCAGGGAGGGAGGGGGGGGGGGTCAGAGGAGTGAGAGGACACGTGGATGAGAGACAGAGCGAGCAGAGTGAGAGGGGAGCGCGAGGAGGATTCGGGACGGTTGCAAAGGTTTGGAGCCGTCTGCGCGTGGGCAGCGTGAGATGGATGGCCCCTCGGGGATCCAGGCGGGTGGCTGTGGTGCCGGGAGACGAGACGGAATGAGCGCAGTGGCACGCGGGAGCACGGGCGCGCATCCAGGGCCCCTCCGCCCAGCAGCAACGTAACGCTTGCTCCATCACGCGCGCACACGTCGTGTGCGTGCGTAGGCGCGAAGATATTGCAACTTAGAGCTCTATTTATAATGCGGGAGGAATAGCGATGTCTGCGCTAATATGCGCGATATTAAATTGTGCATGCGCTCTGCGGTTTTTGTGCCCAAAAGGCTGCATCGACCAATGCAAACATGTTAGGCGTGCGATATATCACAAAGGTCATTGGGGGGGGGGGGGGCGGGGGAGATGTATTTTATTTGATAAAGGAAACTGAAAGGACCAGAAGGCACACACCCTACCTCGCAGCACCACGCCTACAACACCTGGCAAGCCCTGGACGGTCACCCATTCAAGAACCAACTCGGTTCGACCCTCAGCAGCTGCTGACATCGAATGAGATTGGCCGCATTGTGTGTATCTGGAGCTTCCTGGATGAATACGTCCCCCATGCTGCGTTGGTCATGGTTTTTTTGTTTTTTTATACTTCACCATGCTGGTCAGTGCGGACTGGTGAAGCGGGGGGGGGGGGGACCAATTCCAGGACCGGTTCAGTTATCTCTTGCCACTGATGTTCGCCGTGGCAGCGAATCGAACTCAGGCCACCGTGTGTGTGCGGCGTGTTAACTATTTCGCACTTTAACGGTGAGGAATGTTTCTCGTTACATTTGTATTTCACAACTTGTCCACGTGTCGTAGTCACAGCAAATTACGTGAACCTTCAGAAATGTGCAAATATATTTTTTTGTTAAATGCGTTTCGTTACATTATTAAAATAGACGATTTTAACAAAAAAATTCAAGGCTGACCAAATAACATTGAATTACTACCATGTTCAGCAGTAATTTCAAAGACCAAAACGTGCTGACTGTATTACTCTTTCATTTAGCACGGCTGTTGTTGTTGTTTAACTCTACAGATCATAGCCAGGGCCGAGCCACAACGATTCGAATGCAATAATCATGAGCGTACATGCACGGCCAGCGAAATAACAACAAACCAACACCAGATCACAATATGGCTAAGTCTACGGTACATGTCAAACAGCATCCGTGGCCTGACTGTCACATGTATTATGACTACGTATTTCATTTTCTCTCTCTCTCTCTCTCCACGCAATCTGGCTCGAAGCGGTGCCATCTGTAAAATCGCTGCTGTCCGCCTGTCACTCCTCTCATCGCGCGAGTGTGAGCCATGCATGGGGTTGCTGTGGTGCCGACGGCCGATGAACATCACAAACATCGGCCGGCCTACACGGCGGCGGCGAGCAGGACGAGGAGTAAACAGACGAACGGCGTCGGCAGTCGGACGTCGAAGATCTGAGCCGATCGGCAACACAGGCACCACTGCTCACTGGCACCAGCGGCAGCTGATGCTGCTGCAGCCGGCGATGCTGTCTAGTCGCGCGTGAAAGTGAGCGGCCTCGGTTCTGTGCCTGTATAAGCTCCCGGCACGTGTAGCGAAACGTCGGACACCAGTGCCGAATTAACACGCGGTGGTGCGACCCGAAAACGCATTGGAGGGAGACGCACCGCACGACCTCGAACCCCTCTACGCAGGAGAATCAACAAGGCTGCATGGTTCCTCAAACAGCATTCAACCACATCGCTCCCTCCGCTGTTCCCGCAAATGGGCAACGGTTCCCATGGATAATTGTTTTTTTACCCTTTAATCTGGCAACAAAACTGACACCTTTTTTTACAAGGAGTCATGTTTGCATTTTGGTGCGCCTTTTGGCGTCATCTGGTCCAACACCATGTGAGACTAGGCTCAAAAGAAATCTGTCTCGGGTGTGGACCAATCAATGTCAAGGACAGTGCATACATTATCAGAGTTACGTTTTTTGGTTTGCATTCCGACTGCAGGTATTGTGGTCAATGCAAACATGACTCCTTGTAAAAAAGGTGTCAGTTTTGTTGCCAGATAAAAGGCTAAAAAACAATTATAATATTTTTCTACTGGCAAATGAGGTTCCCATGAAGTTCAGTTAATGAATTATCGATTCCTGATGAGGACTCGGGTTTACTGTGTTCGATCACAACACGGCTCTCCCAAATGCTTCCCTTTCACCTCGTAAGAATATCACATTTTGGTCCACAGCCCACGGACTTTCCAAACCAATGTCCTCAAAGAACATTTGTTAAAGCAGGCAAAGTCCAGACTCGTTTTGGACTTTCTGATGCTCATCATCAGCAGAATGTGACTTATCAAAAGCCGACGAGGAGTAAGTGGGCTTGTGCAGGACATTAATCGCTAGAAGGAATGGAACGAGAGCGAAATATAAAAACAAATGCCCCGAGACAGGCCAGGCACTGTGGAGATGGAGCGATGAAATCTGCTCGTGTGCAGGAGCGAGATTTAGGAGCTGTTCAGAACTGCGAGGGATGATATCAGCGTGGGAAGGCCTTCATCCAGCCGCGGATAGACCACAGCTCGAGATTATGATGCGAATAACAAGCGTCGGCGGTGCTTTATTTACCTGGCAGTTAGGCTTTCCAAGATAAATACATCTCACCATGTTTATTTGTGTTATTATAAATAATGTACATGACAATAAAGATTGATATTCCGCAGAAGACGACAAGTCGACAGCGGGTGAGGTCCTACACCATGAGGTTGAGGTCAAATTGTTGATTTTTTGCGCGTGAGAATTTTCATCAATATTTGTTTACCCTTGCTGTTGTTGTTTGTTGTAGCCGGCGAGGCTCGGCTTTTTTTGTTTTGTTTGGACAGCAGATGCTGGGTGACGACACAGACGTGAGTGAAAAAAATGGCCTCTAGCCCAGCCCAGCCATCCACCCCCCGTGGGCCCAGCCATAAACGACACGGACAATAGAACTCCACCTCGCGTCTGGCCCCAATTCCTCGCGGTCCGAGCCGTGCGCTGCGACGCGCACACACCTCGCGAATAAACACCGACAGGCTTCGTACGTTCGACAACAAAAGCAAGAGCAGGTTTGCATCAACAGGGTGTTCCATTTATAGGTAAGATGGATAACCCCTGCTAAAGTAATAAGGGAGGAATTATTGGAGAGAATAACATTATGTGTAAAAGCCTCCGCACGTCTCGCACCAGTATCAAAACACTCATTAAATATTTTATCACTCCCCTCTGTAACATGTTGAGCCACTGCGTTTACAATATTTGATCACCTGTTGCGAAGAAAGCGGTTGGGTATCTATGAATGGAATCAACGTCTATTATAAAGACTGCCAGTGGGAATCCCGTTAAGGCTCCACGGCATTACATTGCTTCGAGTGAGTTTATTTATCCAACAGCGATGCGATGAATTATATTTAAACAATAAAAGGGTAACAAAATAACAATTGCTGCGTTGCGATAGAGTGCTGGGTGATACTACAGTGCTGTGAACTCGGTGACCTGAATCTCGGGCCACAGATTTTCATCAGTGGCGAGCGATATCAGAACCGATTCCTTTGCCCGCAAGCAGCAATGTCCCAAGCCAAGCGGGTCTGGCAAACAAACCAGCATCATCGTCCGTACGCTTCACGTCTCTCGGGTGAAAATGATTCACCACGATTCCACGCTATTTTGCTGATTTTGTACGGTATGCAGACCCCTAGTGAAAGCGTCGTCGTTGTTGCGTGCGGAGTAAAGTTGCGCGGCATGGACACACATTGGGCTTGTGAAGGTAGAAGTCATTTATATTGGCTACCCGTTTGTTTCCTGTCCGACTTGCCTCCAATTATGATTGGGCAAGTTGGTGTCTTGCAGCGGCGGTGCGTAACGGTATAAGCACCACGCAGGCGAAACGAACTTGGTATTCCGTGCAGGAGGGTTAATTCATTTTGCAATCTGTAACGAGTGCTGATGAGACAGACTGTGAATTATCCGTATCACATTTACTTATCTGCATTCATCACCACTTGAGTTTTTAATTCGTTTATCATTGCAAATTGGTGTGGCGCGTGACCGCCTCAAAGTGTTACATTACACAACGGAGCGTGTTCAGCATTTATCCAGTTTTTTTTTCGCCTTTGCAATACCTTGTCTGATTCAATACTGCTCTCTTTATCAGATAACATCTTCCAGTTGGGATAAGCCCAAGGAATCGATTTTTAAATGTTTCAGCCACTGGATAACTAAGCCGATAAATAGGGCAGTGCCGCAGCTTGGTTGGGATGAGCACTGGTGCAGGGAATGAATTGGACCTCCCTGTCCAATCTTCCTCCCCCCTCTTCGTAACACAGTGCCTCGTCCCTCTGGCCCCCTGGGCGGTGGTGCAATCGCACCGCCTGCACAATCGATAGATGCTATCAATTCAGGGGGGTAATGTAAAGCAAGTTGTAGAACACACCACGCCAAAACGCACGAGCGTCGAAAACAACGGGGATTGTTTATTTATGATAATGATGGAGGGGGAGGGGCTTCGTGGCATCATCAGGCGTGTCACGCTGGGCGTGGCGTTGTAGGGGTTTCCCACCTTCGGGAGGCAAGGGGGATTGATCAAAGGAGGGGACGCGCATGGGAGCACGTCTACCGCAAACGGATGGAGCGATGAGATAATCCCGTGTGCAGGTGCCCAAAAGTGTTGCTGCATCGCAGGAATCGTAGGAGAGCGATGGCGATGAATTGTGTGTGTGGGGGGGGGGGGGGGCTTCATCTGGGATTTGACCTGAGCCTGACGATGATGCGGCCAGCAATTCGGAGAGCCGGTGGTGGGATGCGTGGTGAAGTCACGGGTGATGCATTTCCCTTGCTGCCCCCC